CTTGAAGTGTTTATTTTATTTCTTAGTTTATTGAAGCAAGCAGGGTTCGGTTTAAGCTGTTACATACACTTAAATATAATTTATATAATGACTATAATGTGCTGTTTTAGACAGCTCTGTAAGGTGGGTCAAAGTGTAACCACTTACAATGTTTTTAATGCTTCGAACATTAAGTTAAGGGCTGACTGCGATCCCCTGTGTGGCACCAGGGCACTGATCTGAGATCTGTCAGGAGGCGAGCAAGATGCCTGCCAGGACTCACTCCAGAATATCCTTGTTGAACTGCTTCTTGCTGTTGCCCAGGAACTCGCCGATCATCTGGCGGCTCAGCCCCTTCCGCTGCAGCAGGAAATGAGCCACACCGATGGGGGTGTCTGGGATGAAGCCCCGAGCGATGAGAAACTGGATGCCTCGGTCGGGATTCCTGCAGGGAAAGTGACCACCGATGAACCCATCCCACACACACACACCCAGATGCCTGACTTGGTCTCAAAAGTCTGTAATAGCATGAATCATCTCTGGCAGTCAAACGCAAATTCGGGGTTTGTTTTGGCAGTAAAACAGTTGTTCGAAAACCATTGTGTTGATCAAACGGTGTAATCTGAGCAGCACAGTCCTAAGTGCATCAAACAAAAGGTGTCATCTCATTACAGAATGGCACTTATTTACTTATCGGAGCATTAGATGCACACTTGCTGTGCCGAGCCTGAAAGCTGGACGTTGGTCCTCGACTGGCCGGATTTCACAGACCAAGCGATGCGATGGCGTGTAAGGACAGTCACCCAGAGTAACCAGAGTCACAGAAAGGATCGGAGGAGGAGCCAGTGATCTCAGTTTACTGGGAACCTGTAAGGGGAACTTGCCTACTCTCCCTGAACTTCCTTGCAAAAGCCCCTTTTTTTGGGGTGAAGGGGGGGATCCAGCTCTTGATTACTCATCAAAGAGTAAAGAAATCATACTTACCAGTTTCCTTGATATTTACAACAGAAATCAAACCAATGGTTTAATGTGATTGAATCAGTGTCTCCCTTTTGTCATGGTGTCATTAAAGAGGTTCACGTACGTCACAGGTAACTGGGCTGCGCTGGGACCATGCCGATTTCGTCAGACACAAAGCAGCCACTGATAAGGCAGCTTCCCCTCCACTGAGTGCCTGTGTTTACGGCTGCCTCATGCTGTAGGGACACCAGGGTCCTGGAGGAAGCTGTCCACCCTGACCTGGCCACCTGGGTCATGCAGAAATCCTCCCCCGGCTGTCTCAGAAGTGCCTAAGGGTGGCGTGACCCCCAGCAGATGATCTGATCTTGTTTTGGAACACATTCCTCTCTAAAGCCTGGACGTGACTCTCTGTATGCAACTCAATGAGTCAAAGCGCGCATTTCACCCGAGTTCTGGACAGATACCAAGTGGGAGTCACTCTACCTTGTACAATTACGCTCCTGATGATACAGACCTGACTAATGATCTAAAACAGCTGGTGTTACAAGAGCAAACAAGCCGAATGCCTTCATGCAAAATGCATGTGGCAAATCCAGTTTGAATAAATCTAGTTTGAATGAAATCTCCTTCAGCCTGGCGGACAAAACACAGAGGAGCCAATTTCTTTATTTCTGTACTTGACATTTAAAAAAATACCACAGAATTTTAAACAACTGATTGGCTTCTATAACACACTGTAAATACTTATAATGCAGAACAAAGCATCCTTAATTCTTATATCAACCATTATAATGCATTATAAAGGTATCTATCGTGCATTATAGATGACAGCTTCATAAAGCATTCATAATGTATAATACACATGGCTATAATGTATTATGCCATTCAGTAAACATTTATAGGCATGTTTATAATGCTTTATGAATTATAGGGCTCTCTGGGTGCTGTTTCTGTGACCGGAAGGTTGTCAGTGCAAACCTCAGTGTCAGCAGAGTGATGTCACCACTGGGCCACTGAGCAGGGCCCTTAACCCAATTTCTCCAGGGACTGTCTGACGCTGCTTTCCTCAATTGTATGTCACTTTGGATAAATGTAATGAATGAAAAACTCTCTTAGACTAAGTTAAAACAAGCACTGGATCATAGATGTGGTTTTCTAAACCACAATCTCCTGATGCAGTGTTATTGTCTCTGACAGTCCATCTTAAAGCCAGTCCATGATACACCTCCAGGGATGAGAGCAGCTTTCCCTTTAACCTTTTAACCTAAATGTTTCTCTGAAGCTCCCTTTCTGAGTGGAAAGGACCCAGGGACACGGAGCAGGGTCTCCCAGCACTTACAGGTTGAAGAGGTTGAGGCCGATCCTGTAGAGTCGCTTGCGCATGACGTCGGTGGAGAGAGTGGGGGACTTGCAGACGGCAGGGTTCTCGCAGTGGAGGCGGGGCAGGCTGAGGATCATGGCCTGCAGGGCCTCCTTGGAGGAGACATCAGAGGTGGACCTGGCGGAGGTGGAGGTGCTGCTGCTGCTCATCTGCTCGGAGCTGTTGTCCGCCACGTCCGACTCGCTCCGCTTGACCTCCAGTGGTTCCGGACCAGCTTCAGTAGCCATGTCCACTTCTGTTCCCTCCTTCTCCCCCAGCTTCAGATCCTCAAGCTTCTCCAGAGCCAGTGATTCTTCTTCACAGGGAGGGGGGGTAGGGAATTCATTGTGTGACAGTAGGTCTAGGACCTCGCCATCTTTATGGACCTGGTCTCCCTCAGGAGACATTTTGGTTTTCTCAGCCCCTTGCTGTTGGACACAGTTAGCCAGGGAGACGGAGGTGGACTCCATCACAGAAGATGACACATGGAAGTTCTGGTTGTCAATCTGCACTGTTACATCACGGAAAGCCATCATCAGCTTGCTGGTACTACGAGGCACACTCCCCACACTGTCCTCCTGGGTTCCCTCCTGAGGGGAAGCAGAATCCCTTTCTGGATCTCCTCCCCCGACCCCTGATGAACTCTGGCTGAAGGTCTCAGTAAACTGGTACCTCCCTCCATCCTGCATGGAGCACACGGTCTTCTGGCTCCAGTTGCTGAGGGCATCATCGATGGACTTGGCCAGCGACTGCACCTGCTCTGTGAAGGAGTCCTCCAGGTCGGTCAGGGTGCCGCTGACGGTGGTGGGCACCAAGGGCATGCCCACCAAATTGTATCCCTCCACCATGGCCTTCTCGGCCGAGAAGCCCTCGGCGTTCTGCACGCGAACCTTGCGCATGGAGATGCGCCGTGGAAGGCGGCTCTCCAACAAGGAGTTGCGTATCTTCTCGAAGTTCTTGCTCAGCTGGTACTGGCGGAAGGCAGTCTGGATTTTGCAGGCGGCCCGGCGCGAGATGAGATGTCCGCCATATTTGTGCTCTAACATTTCAATCTGTGGAGAAGGAGAAGAATAATAATAATAATAATAAGAAGAAGAATAAGTATAACTAACCTCATGTGAAGAACAGTGGCGGCAGAGGGATTCTATAGTCTGCAATCTATGACTGTTAATCATAAACTGAACCAAAAAAAAAACTTTATAGAGAGGTTACTGTGGGTAAAAAGATGCTGAGGGTCCAGCATGTCACGCGGTAGGACTCCAAGCACACACTGCCCATAAAGCTGAGCTAAGCGCTTAAGACCTCAATAAACCTTCGGCCAACTGCAAGGCACAGAAAAAAAACCAAGAGAAGCTCAACCAGCTGATTTATTTTGGCCGCTTCAGGGTGTCAGTCTCTGCCTCCCCCAGCTTATTGGAGCACGCAAGATAAATAGCAGGAGCCGTGAGAAAGCCTTGCGACTGGGGACCACAGAGCCCATTGAAAGAAAAACGAGTCTGACAAGCACATATTTACAGATAACGGGTGTCTGGGCCTGGTTCAGTGAATGCAGCGGCCTTAGTGGAGGAGTCTCCTGCATGCACGCTAACCGGGTTTAGCTCTGCCTGAAATCTGAATTGCCAGCTTAGCGCCTTGCTTGCTCTGATCTGACGTGTGAGCCGACAGCTCTTTCAATCAGATAATAAGGCAACTGTTAGATACACCAAATTGCCTCTCTGACTGTAAATATACATGCATCAATTATCCAGAAGAAGGCTGTAGTGGCTAAACTGAACAGGCCCTCTGTTGCAAGGCTGCATGCGTGTGTTTGTCAAATGATGTGGACAGCATGAGATCGAGGCCCGCAGAACTGCCTGTTTAAACTTTTCACTGGTGGCTTGTCAGTCCAGCGACTCACAACAATCAGTGGAACTCAGAAGCTGTAGAGGATAGTCATGGACTCTTAATAACGTAAAATTATGGTAATAATTAAAATTATTAAATTATACCGGCTGACCATTAATTTCACACAAAAGAAGGTTTTGCAATAGTTTTGGCAGAATATAGGAAGTTAAAATGAAGGACCCACCGCCTACAAATGCCTGTCCTCTGACCTCCATTAGCATCAAAGTGACAGCTGCACCATGTGCTCAAATGTTAAAAATTAACACTTTATTTTTTTAAGTGATAGCAGAACAAAAAATCCCTGTCGATGCACCGAGACCCCAGACACAGAGGATAAGGTGTAGGTGCTAAATGAATCCATCTAGGAGAGCAGCTTACTACAGCCACAAATTCGCCGTCCAACCCCTGGCAATATATCCTAACAGAGAAACGTTTAGCAGAGTGCTTGGTCGATGCATGTCGATGGTTATGTTTATGTGCTTTAATAACAGCCAGTGGATCGCCAGTCACCAGTGGAACTGAATTGGAGAGGGAGTTCAACATGAACAAAGAGCGTACCACTGCGTGACTGAGTTAGTACCGTCTGCAAATCCGTTGCAACCCCTGAATGCAGCAAACCGGTGACTCACAGCTGCAAATGTTACCCTTGTCGGTGGAGAATAGAATCAGCAAGCTGTACAGTACAGTACTGGCTTATCACAGATTACTCAGTGACCTGTGTCATCTGCTGGAAGAGGAATGGCACATCTAAAGGAGGAAGAGATGCAACAAAGTGCAGCTTCCATCGCATTCTTTTCTCAGAGCCACGCGAACGATATTCGATTAACTCTGCAGCACTGCCGCAATGAGTCTGAATTACGTTACCACGGTGAATCTGGGGGAGGCTGTTTGCGATCTGTAATTTGGAGAAGTGTATATTTTACAGTTTCTGCTTCTTTCTAGAAGAACAGCTTCAAAGCTATGATGGTCGGGTGGAATCTGAATCTACAACATGTGGACAGAATGGAGGGGATCAGGCCAAACAGAGTGACGTCCATGTCTAGCTACTCTTCAACTAGGGCACGCATCAATGTGCCGAGAGTCCCCAGTGGCCCAGTCCGGCTCACAAAAACACAGTTATTTTTGGAGTTTCATGAAATATATATTCGTTGAAGACATGTTGATGTAATAGAACAGAAGACTGAAAAATCTTTTCTTCCCATTTTAAGAAGGAGCAATGAAAAATTTATAGGTCATCTTCACACAGTGATGGGATGTCACGTGACATTGCGTGTTGTTAGACCAGGCATGAGTCATGCTTGGGGCATGCTTTGAGCACTTTTTTGAACAGAGAGCACCATCTAGTGGGGTAAGAAAATACAGCAAATGGTTCATGTAGTTTCATTTGGTGCATTACTAGTTATTCCCATTTAAATGCCGGATGCAGCTCAGTCATGTCTCTTAAAACGAGCTCCTGAAACACTTTTATAATTGCTGGTCCTCTACATTCAAAAACCCGAGACAGGTGGGTGAGGACTGACAGGCGGTGCTGCACATCTACTCATCTGATCCGTAGCGTCTTTAACATAATCACTGTCATTACTGGAGACATTCCATCCTGAAGATAAAGGCCTTTTAGATACATTTTGCTCACTATAACACTAAAATAGCTTATTGCCTTGATCATTTCACTTCAGTGCCTGTTGCAAAGGGATTAGCAGTGAATATTCCAGCTGTGTAATGAGTTGTGCTAAGACGCATCAAACATCCTCTTTCCAAAACATCAAACTGAATATTGCAAATGCTTGTAGCGAGACCAGCTCAGCTTTTAAACCTGACCATTATAATTCCTATGGCTGTCATAAAGGCAGACTTAGGCCAAATCCCATTCTATTCTCAATTCTCTGCTGTGGGCATCTAAATATAGACACTAAGATGGACCTCTTGTTCCCAAAATGACATGTGAGGATTGTTCCTAAGATGGATTCATTCTTATTGAAATTAAATCTGAGGATTGTTACTAAAATAGATTCATTCTTATTATAATGACATCTGAGGACTGTTACTAAAATGGACTCATTGTTACTGAAATGATATTTGAGGACTGTTGCTGAAATTATTTCATTGATGCTGAAATTTGTACAGTTTCTTCTACTACAGGGAGCATGGCAAGTTTGACATTTATGAAAGGGACCCTAGAGCTTCAAGAAATAGCAGAATGTTTTCTCCATATGGTTGTATTGATCTGACACAGCCTTCTCTGGGGTCAAATCCGAGTTCGGCACCGTATCTGTATGTAGCTGGTGTTCAGCACAAACCTCAAATCAGCATTTTATGCAATATACCAAGAATTATATGTTTAAGAGTTATTTTATACAGTTAATTTATTGAGGCATGATTTGGTTGCCTTTGTTTATTTACAGCACTGAGTCAAAATGTCAGTCAGCATCTCATCCAAACAAGAGCTAGCGGAGCTGAAGGGGCATGTGTTGGGATCAGGCCCATCAGACACTGTCATTAACCAGCTCTCTTAAGCTGATTCATAGGCGATAACCTTGCGGGAAACACAACTCCACTCCATGCTGACTGGAAATGTACACCACAGGGTGCGATCTCAAAACTGCCTTTCTCTCTGAGCAGAGGGACCAGCCACCGGTTGGGTGTTAAGCCTCTGCTGTGTGTACAGAACGTAAATGGTACAACAGTGAGTGAGAGAACGTGGAGGAGCACCATGTAAACCAAGCGAGAAGTGGGAGAGCCCTGTGTGGAGGATGAGTGTAAACAGGAGCCCAGGCTTCGCGCTGTTTGAGATCTGACATGCATATTTATAAACATGAGCGTGAGACACGATAATCAAAGCTGATTTAATGAGGCAAAAACAGGCAGCATATATACACACACACATGTATATATATATATGTGTGTGTGTGTATGTATGTGTGTATATATATATATATATATATGTGTGTGTGTGTATATGTATGTGTATATATATATATGTGTGTGTGTGTGTACTGTATATGTATGTGTATATATATATATGTGTGTGTGTGTATATGTATGTGTGTATATATATGTGTGTGTGTGTATGTGTGTATATGTATATGTATATATATGTGTGTGTGTGTATGTGTGTATATGTATATGTATGTGTATATATTTATATAGCTGTGCGTGTGTATAATAATAAACAGGTGTGTAGCGCAAAGAGACGAGATCATTGTGAGTGGGATGAATCAGCTGCTCCCAGCTCGTCCCCCTCAGCATACACAGCCCCTCCATGTCTGATGGTTTATAATTTAACAAGGCAAAGGCTGCCTGTCATTCAGTGTGCTGTGGTCCATCACACCCTGCTACAACATCAGAAAGTGGTGTGGGGTCATCAGAAAGTGGTGTGGGGTCACAAGTCCCAAAGACCTTTCTGTGGAGCAGTCAGTGAAATGTTATGAGAATTACAGTCAGGCCTCAAAATGGTGCATGTTGGATGCAAACAGTAGCATTATCTCAAGATCTGGTCCTAAAAACGGGCAGCTTTAAGGCTCCCATGCTGAACAGCACAGTAACAGATTTCTGGAAATTGCCAAACACATGACATAGGATGTAGAACAATGCAGGATCCAAGATGGTGAGGCACGGACGCAGCGGGCCAGAGCTCCCCATGTACTGACTGACTGACTGTCTGTCTGTCTATCTATCTATCTATCTATCTAATCTATCTATAGAACTGCACACATTTACCACAAAGTCAGTGAAGGCTTTTACCACATTTCACCATTTATAGGTACTGACAATATGCTGATGTACCCGCGACTTATTCTTTCTAGAATGATTTCTCATATTTTTTTCTCAAACTCTTCTCTGTGTCAGACATAGATGTAAATAATTTCTCCTGCATGTACATGATAATGCTGTGATAAATATCTTGCTTAATAGTTGTAATTAGACAAGGATGCAGTCTAGCGGTTTGAGAATGATTCATGGGAAGATTTCAAAGAGAAGATGTGTTTGATCAGTAAGCTCTCTGCTGCCTTTTGAAGGGTCTGAAGTCCTCAAAAAAATCAATTAAAGTGAAGATGGAAATAAATTCTGCAGTAATGAATGGATCCCAGGCAGGAGAGCCATGTCAGCAGCCCGGAAACATTCAGCACAGAGCTGTAGGCTACGCTGAGTTATCCGTTATTCTTCCTATTATCTAACTAATCAAATGTACAACATGCACCAGCTTATGGCAGAGTAAGAGAAGAAAGTCCAGATACCTCTGCTATGTTAATTACTGTACTTACTCAATGACAGCCATGTACAGAATGCACTACAAGGACCGGATTTTATCATGTACATCGCTGGCCTGGCCAATAAATGCACCGACCATTGGCCATCATGACGGACATCCACCATCTTGGTGTTCAGCGTATGTGGAATCAGGTAACAGGGAACTGAAACGCAGTTCTCCATGGCAGCCATGATATGCAAATGTGACAAGTTAAAAAAGTAATATTGCAGCACCAGCAAGACGGCTCTGAGTAGTGGGAGCCTATTAGCATTTCCCAGCATGCTTTTTGTGATCATTTTGTGAATATTTTATTTGTAAATTATGTATGCATTTGATAAAACATTTGAGTAAATGCTGAGGAAACATCGCTCTCTTTGTGATTATTTCTCCCCATTTTCAGGGGCGTAACACAAAGACATGACCTGCCAAATGGCCTTCTGCGGCATCATATTCATCAGATTCCCTGTGATGTAATAAGACAACTACAAAGCAGAGTGTGATGTAATGAGATAACTACAAAGCAGAGTGTGATGTAATGAGATAACTACAAAGCAGAGTGTGATGTAATGAGATAACTACAAAGCCGGATATGATATAATAAGATAACTACAAAGCAGAGTACTTAAACACACACTCACCACCTGCTGAAGATGCACAGTAGGGGTGGAGCCGAACCCGAATACGGTAAAGAAGAAAAACTTTATATTAAAAAGCTGCGTTTCCTCTTGAGACCGCAGTGCATGCCCGGATGAGTGAGTGAGTGAGTTCAGGAGTCGGGGGGGGGAATAAAAGAGGTGACTGACACAGGCTGCTCCACACAGCAACAGAGAAGACTCGGCTGAGCGAAAAAAAGACTTAACTGTATCACTATTTTTGTTGAATAGATTTTTGTACCTTAACTGGGTTCCGGAGGCAGTTTATAACTTTCGGGAAGCGGAGTTTGATCGGGAGATTAGTCCATTACGCTGCATTATTGACGTCTGCAGTCAGGTGTTCTCATGTTCGCTCTGTTTACGTAGTTCTGTTAGCTCGGTAATTTTGACAATAGGCTGTTGACAGAGTAACGTTAACGTTTGGTTAAAAAGGTTAAAACAATGCTTGTGTAGTTGTGTCGAATTGTATGCACTTGTAGGAGTTATATGGTACGTTTAAGTTACTCTGTCTACTGCATATCCATAATTATAATTAAAGAATACTTACACTATAACGTAAATTAGAAGTGCAACGCAAAAAAACTGGATTTTTACGCCTATTTTGAATTTTAGTCGAATACGAATACAAATACAAATACTTTTCCCCCCTCAACAAATACAAATACAGATACAAATACCGGCTGCTTTGCACACCCCTAATGCACAGTCTTTGAAAGTAATTGCTGACACAAAAGATTCCGGTCGGCGGTACAGTGTTAAATGTCATTATCTCCGAGGTGCCCATTTCCACTACACCAACCTGGAGAGAGATGCATTTCAAGCTCCGAAGGAGCTTATCTGTCACCTTACACTGATGAGTCCAAGACCCCCCATGAGCTGAGAAATTCTCCTGCACGTCTTCCCGCACCTCTGACTCACAACCTACTCACCCCACTTTGTGCATCATCTCATTTAAGGCATCGCAATGACAGGAGACATGGTGCCAACCCCGGCAATGTCACATCATCATAGAAACAACGAGCATGTGAGCCGTCGGCGTTTTAATCCACGGGGGTGGGGGCCACAAATGCATTTTTTTAATTAAAGAAGTACCATGAAGATGATAGCTGGTAAAATGGTGTGATGGGTCATCTATAATCTGCAATGGGCGAGACAAGAGGCTGCACTGAGAAGGACAGGGGTCAGGCTTTGCAGTGCAGAAGGAATGGTCATCTAAGGTTGTAAGATCCTCAACCCAATGGGACTCATCCACCACCCTGAGGGCCACTTGTCTCTCTGCTGATGTGAGACAGTGCCCCCCCCCCCCCCCCACCACCACCACAGGCTTGTGGCCCAGCACCTACACACAGCTCCTACCTGCTTGTTTTTGAGGTCGAGCGAGAGCTGGTAGTCAGTAGCATGGGAGTGCCCCCTTCTGGGGGATGTGATGTGGTGCAAGCTGGCTTTCGGCCCCATGACTCTGTGGCTCCCTCTCCGCCCTTTGGCCCCCAGTTCCTGCCGCTTCTCCTCCTGGCTCTCCTGCACCAGTCCACCATGTTTGGCACCCACAGCACAGCTTGGGGGATGGGAGTCACTGTGGAAAGGAGAAAAGTCAGTGTAATGCAGTGTTCTGACCAACTCTGAGGCCTGCAAGATTGTGTTGGGGTTAGGCATGTAACGATGAATCGCGAATCGGTTAAAAATCTATGTAAATGTATGACAATTTAAACTTGCTGATATGGAAAATCGCTACTTCAGGAGTACTTCACGGTACTTTACTTAACAGAAAACCTGGTGTAATATTACATTTGATTTCACAACGTCAGTTCGACATCAGATGTCACTGCGTATTCACGTAGATGTCGTACGTTGGTTTTTGGTTTTGACCGAACGCGAGATGGCGAGCGAATTTGAGATTGAGGACACACCCCCCGATCTTAAATCGGCAGTGTGGCAGCATTTTAGCTTTCCAGTAATTACAAACGAAAATGGCAAGAAAAGCACAGACAAGACAAAAACTGTGTGCAAACATTGTAAAATGTAAAAAACTGATAACAACTGTATTCTCTGCAGAATCTCTCCATTCTACAGAAACACTCAACTATACAGAATCTCTCCATTCTACAGAAACACTCAACTATATAGAATCTCTCCATTCTACAGAAACACTCAACGGTACTGAATGTCTCCAATCTAAAGAAATACTCAACGGTACAGAATCTCTCCAATCTACAGAAATACTCAACGGTACAGAATCTCTCCAATCTACAGAAACACTCAACAGTAAATAATCTCTCCAATCTACAGAAACACTCAACTGTACAGAATGTCTCCAATCTACAGAAACAATCAACTGTACAGAATCTCTTCAATATACAGAAACACTCAACTGTACAGAATCTCTCCAATCTACAGAAACACTCAACTGTACAGAATCTCTCCGATCTACAGAAACACTGAACTTTACAGAATCTCTCCGATCTACAGAAACACCCAACTGTACAGAATCTCTCCGATCTACAGAAAGACCCAACTGTACAGAATCTCTCCGATCTACAGAAACACCCAACTGTATAGAAAGTCTCCCCTTTAGGGAAACATGCCACTTATGGAGACAGGGTTGGAGTTCTCCTTTTTCCATTGAAATACTATAATCTTCTGTTTTCATTTTCACCGATTCTGGGTGTAATGTTTCTCTGTGTGAGCACAGTGTTCGTGCCCTTCTCCCGTTGTCAAGGGGCGTGTCCTCTGCAGGCCTAGTTTTGTTTTCAGTGGTTCATCGGGGACACGATCGACACTCTGCCTAACATGAAGAAACTGTGATGAGTGCAGGCGTATGAGATATCAGGGGACCGTCAGTCACAAAGACTATGAGCTAATATTCTATACAAGCTCCTGAAAGTATCCAGAGTGGGTGTCTATATGACTTGTGTGTTGAAGGGTAAGACTGACTTTGCACCTCTGAAACTTTGTTTTCCTGTTTTTACTTGTGTTTCTCTGTAGTTTTTTTATGCCAGTCACTTCACTTATGTTGCTTAGCCAAAATACAGAGTGATCTGGGGTTCTGTGTTAGAGAATAATTTCACCACTAATGATTACTAAGAAATAACATCTCATGTGGCAGTTCTCAGCAAGAAAGTGTGGGCATGGCACCCAGGATTTCTGAAGAGGTTGGAGTTGCTGCTGCATATGTGTTGAGATGTTATTTACCTCAAAGCTCCTGTTTTCATAATCCTTAAAAACTCCCCAGCATTTCAGAGCGATTCCACTGCAATGAAAGGGATTCACGTGTCAGGTGCCTCGCCTATCTATAGGCTGAACTTCACAGCATGCTGGTGCAACCCACACTGCGTGGGGAGGGGGCTTCCAGGGAACACTGCTCTTGAGTCATCCACATTTTTTCACAGGGAGCGGCGAATAAAAAAATCACAGCTGCAGAGAATTCAAGGAACCACCGTAATAGTAACTGATCAGGCTGTGAAGGGGGCAGCAGACAGACTCAGGCGTCAGGGTCTGAGCACATTATTTTGGGATGAGGAATCACACAACTTGATGTCTATAATTTGTCAGGAAGCACAGGTGATGGAAACGAATGTGCCTGTCATCAGCCCCAGCCCTCCCCGGGAGATCCATCACCCCCCAAAGGAAGATTTACCAGGATCCTGCTTATAAATATCTTTGAACACCTCAGGAGATGCCGCCGATCTGCCAGTAAGATGGATAATTATGAAGTGTGACAGATAATGAATTGTAATTTTGCAATTAGGGCCACTCAGTAATCAAGGCCACAGTCTGAAGCAGAAGATTAACCTTTAAACTTCTGTGTAAAAAACACAGAAAAGTGTTGTGAGTTTGTGTTGGAACCCGGTTCTCCATACACTTTAAATCATCTCCGTTCCACTTCCATTTCAAAAGCAACCGCTCTTGACTGCAAATAATTTACAGCTGCTATGTGTAGCGTGTTGCCTTTTAATGACTGGATTCAGATATTCTGTCCTCAGAATCAATCATAATTTCTCTTCATAGTTTCAGAAGTCATCACAGAAAACTAAACAATAAGCAGGTTAATAGTCCCTTAACTCATCTAAGGAAACAATGTGAGGGTTTGACTGATTACTCTGTGAGTCAGTTACTGTGAGGGTTTGACTGATTAATTCATCAGGCAGTTACTGTGAGGGTTTGACTGATTACTCCGTGAGGCAGTTACTGTGAGGGTTTCATTAATTGATCTGTCAGGCCTTAGCATGAAAGCTTTATTGTCCATGATGCCTCCTCCATCCTGGTCTATGTGACAGAAGTAGAACACTGAGAATAGATTAACCCTAAACCTAACCCTAAACCTATACCTAATGCTAACCCAATCTTTCTTCATGAGAGACCAGCATTTCCAGTCATAGCTCAGCATTCTCTATGCATTCATGTGTATGATCGAAAAATACTACATTGATGCCCAGTCCAGAGCATTACAGTGTATTATGTCTATTTAGAGCTGTAAGTCAGGGGTGGCCAATTTTATCCAGAAAGGCCCACTGTGTGTGCTAATTAAAAGACTGATTGGCTGAAGAGTCCTCACACCTGGGTTTGAACAGCTGACCTAAAGGTTATCCCAAAAACTCGCATACACACCGGCCCTTTGCGGCTATGATTGGCCACCCCTGCTGTAAGTAATTGCTTAATGAATTGTCGTCTGTGACTCTGTATTGGGATAATTGCTCAATTATGTGATCATCGGGGCTGTACTGTTTGGATTTTATAATGTAGATTTCTATGTTACAGGTCTTAGCACTGAGGACTAAAACCTGCATATAGTCATCTGCATCGTAAGATGAAGGCTATCGCTAACATGTGGTCAGATGTGCTCACCTGAGGCTTAACGCTAACGGTCTGGACAACGGCTTCTTAATCTGCCAAATGCCCTCAGGGCCTTTTCTCGGTTCGGCATTACTGCAAACCTCTGCCACCTCATGGATTTCCATTGGTGATCTTTCAGACAAACTTAAGGAGAAAATGTGAGGATCCACATACCAAGTGGGTGACTCAGCCCGTCATTATCCAACCAAAGCAAGACACAGAAGCACAAAATATCTCGTTGACAAGGCTGTTTGTTGCTGGGTTCCAAACAATTGAAAGAAACACATAGATCCCTTTAATGGCTATGCTACTTCTCTGAAAAATAACAAAACGAGGATTCCAGGCCCATTAACCTGTGCTGCTTTTGGCAATTCCACACAACAAACTAAGATGTTTGATGGAATCATTTAGAATAATACATTTTTCATGAAGTGTCATGAAGCATATATCACATTCAGTCTCTGCAAAAAACAAAATGAGTATGTTTCCGTGCTAAGAAGCACCAATGAATAATTCTAATAGCTGTCTTATTGCCCAAAGTTGATTTCAGGAAGAAACAAAACACTTTAAGCGAGTATAGTGGGAAATACCAGCTGAAAGTGGAGCACAGAGAAAGGGACATTGGTCTGTTTTGATACTGTTCCAACACTTGCTCAAAGCCCTCTCAGAGGAAAATCAGAATGCCACTATTTACATTGTTTCTGTCCTCTAATTCAAACTTGTAGCGATATAAAGTCCATCCACTCGGTTAGTGGGGGCAGTCTATACTTGGAATTTAGAAGGAAACTAGATTATCAAGGGAAGACCTGCACTACCATGAGCTAGTGAGTGACAGAGGGATACCATGAGCCAGTGAGTGACAGGGGGATACCATGATCCAGTGAGTGACAGGGGGATACCATGATCCAGTGAGTGACAGGGGCATATCATGAGCTAGTGAGTGACAGGGGGATACCATGATCCAGTGAGTGACAGGGGAATACCATGAGCCAGTGAGTGACAGGGGGATACCATGAGCCAGTGAGAGACATGGGGATACCATGATCCAGTGAGAGACATGGGGATACCATGAGCCAGTGAGTGACAGGGGGATACCATGATCCAGTGAGTGACAGGGGGATACCATGATCCAGTGAGTGACAGGGGCATACCATGAGCCAGTGAGTGACAGGGGGATACCATGAGCCAGTGAGAGACATGGGGATACCATGAGCTAGTGAGAGACATGGGGATACCATGAGCCAGTGAGTGACAGGGGGATACCATGAGCCAGTGAGTGACAGGGGGATACCATGAGCCAGTGAGTGACAGGGGGATACCATGAG